CCAACTTGAACGTATTCCAGCTTTGTAAATGGTGGTAAGGCGATAGTCCTGATTCTCTGATCTTTGGCCACTTCTTTCTTTCATTCGGGAGTCTGTTTCTAATGCTGTCAGTAGATGGCACAGGTGACGTGTCCAGACACATCAGTCTGCGGTTCAACTGGCTGCAACGGTGGCCTATTCCGGGAGCTTAAGGCTTACGATTGCGTGAGATATTCGAAGCGAGAAGGGCAAACTTTCATGAAATTTGCAGAGCATTCAAACGAGAGGTACCCGTGTGTGATTTTTGGTGTTTTAAAGTTTGCTTGTGTCCGTCAATGCTGGACTTTTACGGCCACATTGGTTTATTTCAGGCTGTATGGTACGGTAGGCCTATTTCTCTTTCCTTGATTCGCCCGATAGCAGGTATGCCGCCTGGGCCTGGTTCTGAATAATAAGGCTATGGTTAGACTGTCCCGACCTGTTGTATGCTTAGGCCTGTTGGCTCACGATAGAGAGATGCAAAGAATAGCAATGCTTATCCACAATGAGAGACTGTTTCTCCAGTCGCACATCAAAGTTTGATTCCTATAATATGAGCCGATGACTAATTTCGGCTAGCATTAGACCTAAGCTAAGATAATAACAAGTATGCCCTATTGCAAGTGCATATTCATGAAAAAACAAAACAGGCAAAAGCAAAAATGGAAGAGACCTGTGAAAGTCTTAAAGACAAAATGAAGCCTGCAGAAAGAAATATGCTGCCAATTTGATGTAACTAATTGGAAACTAAATCATTTCCCCCCAAAACAAACATTTACAGTGTAGAATAATTTAATTAAAGAGTAATTGACCCAAGCTTCCTTCTCCTGAAGTCACCATTCCAACATTATGGAGTGCATACACCTGAGAGAAGTTCCACTCCCCCAGAGTAGGTAAGAGCCGATGATGGATTTGGAGGAAATCGGAGAAGGCACTTTTTTTTCCTCTTTGGAGGACAACAGAGAACCATCGGCACACTCAGACTGTATTCAAAAATGTCTTTCTCGATACCGATTTATTAAAAACCTGTAGACATTGCGTTTTCCGGATTTGCGTGAAACAACCCAGAGCTTCAACAATCGAGCATCGAGGGCTGGAGCTTCAACATGAAAATTTCTCAGGTTTGAGGGAATCTTCCTCGCCTTTAAGTCCTTCTCACCGTTGGTGAGAGGATCTGGTTCTTCAAGTATTGCACGATAATTTCGCAACTATTTGTCTTCATGCTGGATTGACGCCGGAGACATTAGGCCGTATGAATGAAACTTGAGTCCCAGCTTAGAGCGAGAAGTCAGTGCCCCCACGAGTAAGAGTACTTCATCATCGCTGCCGACATGAAAAATTCCGACATGAATAACGGTGCCGCGATAATTATTTGGAAGTTATTCAGGGCTGATCGATTGGGTCGCCAGCAGCCTGAAAATTTTGATCCTCTCTATGAAGCAAGGCATTCAGAGTTTCATGGCAAATTCTTTTTCCAACGGAGAGAGAAAGCAATCATCTTCTTCATTTCCTCAGTCCCGGACAAGGCAATTCACGTGAAAATATTTTCACTTTCGGGATAAAACCTCTGATTTCCAGTATACCAGGAGATTGTACTCGTGGGAAATACGGGGGGAGAGTCAGAGTCCTCTACGATTCGAGTCGCAAACTCAACGCCTCGGGCTCATTTTACAAGATGTCAATACGCGAAGTTCCGTTCATTGTGATGTTAGGGGTACGTCAAGGTTTATTGCGATGAACTCCTCAGAAATGCCAAACAATTTGTGCAAGTAAAGCAGCCTTTCCATAATTCTATGCTCGGAAATTTTGGGGGAGTTTCGGAAAAGGGTTTTCCCAAGCGGATCAAGACAAATGTATTCGCAAAAGGATTTCCAATATAGGACTCTTAGCCATACAATTCCAGGAGGAATGTGAACAAAATTCCGCTCGTAACAGATTAGGATTTCCTAGAAAATGCAGAAATATTTACCAGAGCATATGGGTAAATCAAGGTTTACATGTTCTTAGCCGGAAATTTTCCACGACGGAGAATTCGGAAAAATTATTTTCCAGTGCGGATTCTTGATATCGTTATGGATTTTTATAATGAAACTTTGTGCACAATCGTTCAGATATGTCATGACAGATCACGTAACCAAACAGAACTTCGCAGCTGATTCTGCCCCACAGCAGACTCCGATTTTTACGAGCTTTGGCTCAATGATCGCGACGAGAGAAGTTCCCTTTCATACAAAATGCCAGTTTCACTCAGGGGGGAGATAGATCTCTTGTGCGATTTTCCCCAGGGCATCCTAGGTTCAGGACATAAAAGAGACGCGGTAACCCCATCGACAGCGAGCGTATCAGTGTCAGTCGGAGTGAGTCAGTCAGTCAGTGAAGAGACCAGAGGACAACACCAGGAGTCGCAAGTGACCTTCCTACCGCTACCGTCCAGAACGTGTGTCAAGGTTGTTTTTTTTGGGCGCATCCGCCGGACTATGATACTTCACCACTAACTAGCGTGAGCCATTCCGACCTTTACCTCTTCTTCTAGTCTATATCGGCCTTCTCATACTCATATCTGCATTCAAAATATTATTTTAATTAAAATGCGGGAGCAATCCTTTCTGAAGCCTCGAATTTCTTTTTTTTTGTCTCGGGGCTTCAGACAGAAACTCACAAAAGAAACTCGGGGACAACTGAGCACGGGCTAAATACAGTCGGAACCACCTTATTCCGAGTCGCCCGCTTCACCAACCGTCTTAGATCTTATTGCCACAGGCATCGGTCTCTCTCTCCAAAATTATTATTCACAAAGCCTCTGAAGAGTAAAGTAAAACGTCAACGCAGAACATGTGACACAATCATGGAGCTGCAGCTCAGGGAGTTCAAGCTCCGCGCATTTTTATTCATCATACATGGAGCTGTGGCTCCAATTTAACTAAGATAAAGCTCAAGCTCACTTTTATTCGTACGAGTAATTGTTTATTAGAGTATAGGATTTCTATTTGAACACTTGCGGACTCCTATCTGACCATTGTCTGTCGTCCTGAGAACAAGAACCCATTGAAACTGCTGATAAAGTTTCACAGACCTATATGGTTGATGTCTAAGATTCCAACTTGAACGTATTCCAGCTTTGTAAATGGTGGTAAGGCGATAGTCCTGATTCTCTGATCTTTGGCCACTTCTTTCTTTCATTCGGGAGTCTGTTTCTAATGCTGTCAGTAGATGGCACAGGTGACGTGTCCAGACACATCAGTCTGCGGTTCAACTGGCTGCAACGGTGGCCTATTCCGGGAGCTTAAGGCTTACGATTGCGTGAGATATTCGAAGCGAGAAGGGCAAACTTTCATGAAATTTGCAGAGCATTCAAACGAGAGGTACCCGTGTGTGATTTTTGGTGTTTTAAAGTTTGCTTGTGTCCGTCAATGCTGGACTTTTACGGCCACATTGGTTTATTTCAGGCTGTATGGTACGGTAGGCCTATTTCTCTTTCCTTGATTCGCCCGATAGCAGGTATGCCGCCTGGGCCTGGTTCTGAATAATAAGGCTATGGTTAGACTGTCCCGACCTGTTGTATGCTTAGGCCTGTTGGCTCACGATAGAGAGATGCAAAGAATAGCAATGCTTATCCACAATGAGAGACTGTTTCTCCAGTCGCACATCAAAGTTTGATTCCTATAATATGAGCCGATGACTAATTTCGGCTAGCATTAGACCTAAGCTAAGATAATAACAAGTATGCCCTATTGCAAGTGCATATTCATGAAAAAACAAAACAGGCAAAAGCAAAAATGGAAGAGACCTGTGAAAGTCTTAAAGACAAAATGAAGCCTGCAGAAAGAAATATGCTGCCAATTTGATGTAACTAATTGGAAACTAAATCATTTCCCCCCAAAACAAACATTTACAGTGTAGAATAATTTAATTAAAGAGTAATTGACCCAAGCTTCCTTCTCCTGAAGTCACCATTCCAACATTATGGAGTGCATACACCTGAGAGAAGTTCCACTCCCCCAATCTCCAATGTAGATGAATTCAACTGGAAACATGTCACATCCATTGGGATTCCTTTTATTTATATTATACACCAACCTAACCTAATGTGGCCTAACTTTATTGGATCATGATAATTATGTAGAAGCACTTCACAAAATCCTTCTAAACAATTGTCATGCATTTTCTGAAATACAGTTGGGTTCCATGTATCCATTTCTATTTTAAAGTTCTTTAGGCATGACTTTTACAAACATTAAAAATAGAAAAATAGTTCAATAGTAATGGAAATAAATTATTTTAACTGGTAGAATTCCCTTATTTTAGGATATTAAGAGCATCCATTCTTGGGCTACTATCAACATTTATCATCAATGACCCCAACAGTTTCCAAAAGTTTCATTGACAGATGAAACATGTAATTTCTGGAAAACTAAGAAAAAGTATCTGAATTGGAAAGCAATGCATCTTACCACTGCATTACTCCATGATGTTAACTCAGTTACAAGTAAATAGGTGCTATTACCACATGGGAAATTTTGAAGTGGTTATCTTGTAAAGAACTCTCATAGAAGTATTATGAATGCATAATTAGATGCTTTTGCATATTAATTAACTATAGAGATCCCTTATGCATCCCTTATAGTCTGGGTCCAAATCCATGTGGCTTTTATTTTTCCTGCCATGAAGGAATCACATAGACCTATATTGACTGGCCCTTTTCATGTACGCAAAGTAAATCATTAGCTTGAATCTTGGTGGATGCCTAGCATTGTAATTTCAAACAATGTGACATCATTTGGAATGACAATGGTCTGCTTTGTCAACCCTGCCAACTCTTCTTTCCACCTGAAAATTCATTGAGGCACTACTTGGTCACTATTAAGAATTTCCATTTCCTGATTCTAAGCTTATCAGTCCCATATTCATCTGGCTGATTTCTAAATATGAATGTCAGAGGTTATAAGGGTAAGTGTACCTTGACATATGCACAGAGTGTCAGATTTCTCTTATCTTCCAGGAATTTTATATTACCTGGCCAATGTTGCAGGTGAACTTCCTGAGGTATTGCTGAGATGTCCAGGAAGTATAACCTGAAGTGGAATTCCCACCATGCTGAAACAGTTCAGACCTTTGAGAGTCTCAGGAGTAGAGAATTATTTGTGGATGTGACTCTTTCATGTAATGGCCAATTTCTCAAGGCCCACAAATTAGTACTTTCTGCTCTAAGTGGTTACTTTGAGCGAATATTGAATTGTGATGGACCTGGGACGCCTATTGTTCACTTCTATGGCGTTGAGATGTATCTCCTGAAACTTTTAGTGGAGTTCATGTACCATGGTGAGGTGGAAGTACCAGCAGTTGACGTGGAGAAATTCATTGAAATTGCTGAAAATCTGGAGGTGAAAGGATTAAAAGGAGACAACTCCAAAAATGCTTCTCATGGAGGAATAGATTGTGGTGAATCAATTCCAATAAAAAATGCCGATGATACATTGGCTAAAAAACGTAAGAGAACTTTACAAGGGCTCAAAGACTCCTTGTATCCTCACAAAGTGCAAAGATCTCATGTGGCAAGTTATGCTGGACTTGCTGGTTGGATGAAGACTGGACAGCAGGAACAGAAGGATTCACACACCAAAGCAGTGAGTTATTTAAATGAAATATTCAAATGCAATTCAATCTAATGTACTCTTTCACCATTGTCAGATTTAGGTTGGGCATACTATATGGTGATCTAAAAATGACTGTGCATTGGAATTCATGTCTGTCATGATAACACAGGATGACAGACAATACATAATGTATGTATGGGATGGGGCTAACAGTTCATGATGTAATGATTGGGTATTTGTCTTTGATGCAATAAGTGACATACATACATACATACATACAATACAATACAATACAAAATAAATGCTATAAAATAAGTCAATTCTACTGCACAGTGACTTTCAGATCACTGTGTATACTAGAGTCAAAATTACAAGGGATTGAGTTTGAGCTATTTGAGCATCCTCTGGCATCTTTGAGCATCCTAATCCTAGTCTCCAGGGGTGCACCCATGAAATTGACTGCTAAGGAGTAGTTTGTTGGCCTTATTTTTCCACCTTTCTGCAAGTGGTTACTGTCTATTGCTGCTTTTTTATTATCTGTAGTTAGGTTCAGTTGACCTCACTGCAAAGCAATGCATAATCATTCTAGATAAACTTGGCAAGAGACTTAGAGAAGATCCATGTAGCTACCAAATGCCTAATATAACATGTGTCCACCATGTAGAAACAATCCTAATGGCAGACCTTCCTGCAAAAAGAAACATTGCAAGAAGAAGAGATGGTTTGAGAGAGAGCAAGATATACATGGTCAGGCAAAAAAAAAAAAAGTTCCTCCATTTTCATTTGAAAATGTTAATTAAGATGAGTTCATGTGATTTGGAAGATCATTTGTCCCACTCTTCCCTGAACTCTTGCTCAATGTTCACGTTCTTAGTTATATCCATTCCTGCTGACCTATTCCTACATCACTGTTTGCTTGATCAGGTGTGAATATTTTATGTCTCCAGGCACCAATGGCATCCACATCTCACTCGCACCAAAGCAAACCAGCTGTCAAGCAGTCTGGGCTGAATGCTGATTCAATCAGAAATGAAGAAGTTCTTCTCAAAGAGGAAGAAAGTGATAGTGAGGAGGAATCTGAAGAGATGGAGGCTTATCCTGAGGTTAGTGTCAAAGACACTTGTGTGAAAGCAACAAAAATGGGGACTCTGCAGGTGTTGATGTACATTATTAAAATATTTTTCTCCAAATATTTGGTGCACTGAAGTGTCCTACCCCTATCAATATAATTTTAAAGTTTATTTTGATGTGTATAGGAACATTGAGCACTTGTATTGCAACTATTCACAAGAATTACTGGTATAGTAATAGTTAAGGGAAAGGAGGGGCATCATCATCCTGCATGGACCTGTACACCAATTAGAAATTTTAAAACCATTTTGCCTTTCTAATAGGAAGCAGTTGCTATACCAGAAATTATGCAAAATATGAATTGAACACATAGGAAGTGCTTGGAAAGAAAGGGACAGCTCTTTGTGTAAGATTTTAGTTGCAAGTCAAATTTTGTGCTTTGATAATCATCATGATTCTTTCCAGGATGAAGGGAGTTGGGGAGATGTCTCTCACACCTCGCATGATGAAGAGCCTGTACAATCAGAGTCCCAATTGCCTGCAAATATCCCTCCTGAAGTGGATCCTCAGGTCATTGAACTATATTCTCACTATAACAATCATCTAAAATTATGCTATATGAGCACATTGCTTAAGGTGAAGTGGTCAGATATTGAACAGATGTTATCAATCATATTTGAAAACTTTAAAATGCAGTTCTAAGATGTGTTTTTACCTTTCCTTCATGGAAATGTGATGGCATTGCTTTAAAAACCCTCCACTTCAGTTCATTGCACCTACCCTTGCCCAGTGTCCTATCACATCTGTACTACAAGGACAGACAGGAAATGCAGAAAACATATATTCTATTCTGAAAGCATTAAACATGACAGTTTTTCATTTTTCAAATCATTACAAAATTTGGTTCTTTAAGTTTATGCATTGAAATAACTTGGTGTGATTCACTAAAGTCCACAAAATGAACCAAGTACTGTTATTTTTCTCTGGTTAGGAGTTTAAGAGATTGTGAAATCTCCCAAAATATGCCCTGATATATTACTTGTAAGTGTGAAACCGACTTCTAGGGCATTTGAAAATAAGCCTTATTTAATATCCTATTACCTGAGATCTTATTCATAAATGAATAAGATTAACAGTTTTTAACAGTTCCTTTAATAGTTTTTGGCCTTGAGGGTCATCCATCTCTCAAAGTTGTAATGGGACTGAAGAAAGTACTACATTTAATGAGAGTGCAATATTTTTATTATAATAAGAAATTTAGAATTGGCATGCTCTCTGAAAATAACATTTTTTTAGGTCACCCTGTATGACACTTCAGTGGTATACAAGGGGTGATTGAAAAGTTCATAGCACAAAGCACTTACAGTTGCAATACACCATTCTTACTTTTCTTATGAGAAGACTGATGTCTTTGATGGTGACTGGCAAAGTTAATCTCATTCATTGATTATATATAGCTTTGATGAATTTTCCTCCCTGTGCTACCAAAGGGTCTGCTGAAATGGTATTAAAATTGAGAAGGATGCTGTGATCAATTTTCTAACCTCCAAGGAGTCAATCTTTCAGCAGAGTCCTAGTGACCCTTTTGACAGATCAGCTTGAAAATCGACTCCTTAGAGATAGGAAAATTCATCATGGCATTCATCTCAATTTTAATACCCTTTCAGTAGACCCTTTGGTAGCACATGGACAAATTTTTATCAAGGCTATATATAATTGAAATATGAGATGAAATTTGCCAGTCACCATCAAAGACACAAGTCTTTCTGATAAGAAAAGTAAGAATGATGTATTGTAACTGGAAGTGCCTTGGGCTACAAACTTTCAATCATCCCTCATATGTTCCTACCATATTATTATAGAAACCCATGCCATAAACCATTCCTGAGCCCTCTTCAGAGAACATTTGTTCCAGTGCCCCATCTGTTTTTTTACCTTTCACATAAATATTTTTGTAAAAGTCACAATCTATATTCATGAGACTGGTTTTCCTTAATGTTAAACTAACTTTGGGTCTGACTCTGGACCTTATTGGAGCTTTCAGAAATCTGACAAATTGTGCTCTTTTTTGTATTTTAGACAATCTTACCAGTACAGAGACATGTGTGGAGTGGGAAAATGGTGTCATCTGTGAATTCAAAGCTCTACTTTTGTGATTCTTGCACATACAAGACAGGAGCAAAAAGTCATGCTGTTGATCACAGTCGAACTCATACAGGAGAAAGACCATTCCAGTGTCCTGTGTGTTCAAGATCATTCAGTAACAAATCAAATTGTAAATCACATCTCCTGAGAGTTCATTGGATGCAAGATTCTTCATAGTGTTGGTAATGAAAGTGTCAGAAGTGGATCCATAAAATATCCACAAAAAAATCCATGAAGGTCCACATTTGCATGTGAAAGTTACAAGTGCTTCTCATGCCTAATTTTGTGCCTCTTGCCCTTGAAAACCCCCATGAGGTAATTGTGATGAATATGTGCATTTGTACCATATACATCTAGCCATGATTTAACTTGGCTAGAAATACTTCAGGGATTGAATTGAAACATAGTCCTGCAATGACAACCCAGAATCAATACAAAACTTTCAATGCCAAGATGGAGGAGAGAGCTCTTGGTAGTTATATGTTTCAGGACAATGTCTTGATTCGTTTTTCAGACATGAGATCTGCAAATACTGAATGCAATAATTTTTCCATGTTCTTGCACACGATGGAGTTATATTGTTTTGCAGTGGTTCAAATGTCAACAACACTTGAAAATTGTAACTAGTCGGTCCATTGTACTTAGCACTGCTTTGGAAAATCTGTGCACTTTTCTATGTTATGCATACCTGTGACATGGATTCCCCTTTTGTTCATTATTTTGGAGACATAATTTTGAGAGCATATTGATGATAGAACCATTGCATGTATGTAGGGACCTGATTAATGTTCCATTATTTCCTATATTACATTGTAGAAATTGACATGTTCTAAGACAGAACAATTCAGTTGCATGTTGACCAAAGGAACTTGTAAAGTAGCAACAGTCAAATGTATCAGGCTATTTTCCAGTTAAATATTATGATATAGGAGGAGAAGCTCTTTTCCTTTGTTCAGGCTGCACTTCCAGGAAAAATTGGTCCAAAAAGATGCTCACTTACTACATGTGCAATATTTATAGAAAATGTGGTGAATAAGAAGTTCGTTTGGTATCTAAAGAGGAATTTTTTTATTAGTTCCTACTGTCAATGGATTCCAATTATATTTCTCAATGAGGATGACCTGGTTCTTCTTGAGAAGGGCAAGCACTGCTTCTTGTTGAGTGCTGCCTACTAGTGGGCATTCAATGATATTCAGAGAGTCCATGATTCCATCTGAAAAGAAGGCTTTGTCCTGCTAATGGAGTGGAGGGACACACCCGAGGGCTCTTCTTCCCATATCCTTCAGGCTGCATCCAACTTCTCTTCCATTGAGCTTTTCTGTTTTAGGGTGAACTTTCCATCTGAATAGTTGGGATTAGGTTTGTTCCATTTAATTATAGATTAGTCAACAAGCATTTGAACAGAGAGATTGCTTAATATTTATACAAAATTTTCCTGTCCTCACCAGAGACATTGCTAGGAGGACTCTGAATTCTGGTGGATGAGGCACTAAGAAGAAACTAGTGTCCCATATCCATTTTCAATTTCCAATTTCTTTTGAATAATTGCACATTGCTCTGCTTTGGAAATTTCAATTTTGATGTTCAAATGATATATAGAATATGTTCCAATTGGGCAAAAGCCTGTTTGGAACATATCATTCTATACATGACCCAAGTTGTGTGAAAATAGCTTCAATGAGGGCAAAGACAGGAATTGTTTGTCTTTTTTTTTGCCATACCCTGTTTAATCATGACCTTTTGGTATATCAGATTATTGTCAAGAGGCTTTCTGTGGCTCCATGAACCTTAAGGAAAAATCTCAACAATAGCACCTAAACTATGATGAATATTCATACAGTTTTCCTTTCACATGTGGAAAGCAATTCACCTGATGATCTCACTGGTGGCGATGCCGAAAACCTTTTTCATCATTGACTATGATCAGCATCGGTCTACTCCTTGGTGAAGTCTCTGGCATCCAATATCTTTCTTAGAACAAAGTGAATACTCTTGCTGTGGCCCTCCATTGAACCTTTTACTGATATAGAACTCATCTGACCCTGTTGATTCTGGATTCTTGCTTTGACCCTTTTGGACAATTGATACTACAGGGATGTAGGCATTCTTCTTCATACTCTGTATGTGTTACTTATCTAATGAGAAAGGCATTTCATTTCAACTGTACAGACTCTAGTTGTGAATGCCAATTCGAAGAGGAGGTGCTCTTTCCCCTCACACTTTGGATTGTGAAGATCCATGATCAACTGCCCCATACACAGAATTGAGAGGATATTCCAACTCAACTGAGGTAAGTGTTGTTCCCCTCCTCCCTTGCTGGGAAGGCTTTGTGAAAAAAAAAAGTTTCTGCACTTCAAGATTCTTGTGCCTTTTTTTCACTCTAATTTGATACTAACAGGACCTTAGGACCTTAAAGTGGCAATCATGGGGTTGAACCTATTTTTAATATAATCATTGCAAAATCTCAAATTCTAATCTTTCTCATTCTTAACCATATATTCTCATTAGTACCAGAATCACGAAACTAACAATACTATAGAGACACTGAACTTAATTTCAATAATGATATAATTTTCCTTGTTCAAAACGTGTGCTGGTCTTCAGATGGGTGCCACACTTGACATAAAATTCAATTTTGGGGCAAATGCAGTGACCTTAGTGGGAGCCGTAGCACTAGTGAAATCTTCTCTGTGGATATCTGCACCCATGGAGGACCAAGGATGTATTGATATTCCCAGGAGAGAAAGAGACTCTTACCAGATCAGTTGGTCGATCGATCGTTCCAAGCCCCCGAGCTACGTTTGGAGTGATTTTTTTTAAAGGGTCACTGTTACCATTGGTGCATAATATCAGGGCCATCCAGAGAGGCGGGAGGGGGGCAATCTGCCCTGGGCCCCGCGTATCAAGGGCTCCCAAGGGGAGCCTCCAAGGGATCTCCGGTTTAGTTTTGCCCCGGACCCCTGGAAACCTCTGGGCGGCCCTGCATGGTATGTAGTACGGGATTGACAGATGAGGTACATGCTAATCAATCGGATCTTCCTAACAGTGTTACAGATGTTTTAATCTGTAACATCAACGAAGGATTAAAAGTTCCTTGGAGTACCGTATCGCCCAGCAATTCTCAGCCTGGAAGACGTTATCGTGCCTTTATATTCTACGTCTTAACGTCAATCTCTTTAAAACCAATCATTTACATCATCGTCATATAAATCTTGTCTGCGTTTTTTTTTTGCATTTCTCACTCCGTCTACAGGAGAAAAGGATTGAGTCGACAGGCTTGTGTGGTGGTAACCCCTGAGCACCCCACTAGACGGGTTCTGCGTGCAATGATACCTCATATTATACTCGCTATTGGGCTTTGTCAAGGTTAATGTCTCCTCTTACGTGTCTCCGCATTTGTAACCCCTCCCAACCCCACCTATTTACTCTCCCTAGCAGCCCGAAAAAGCCCCTCTGAAGGAATATTTGGTTTCTAAGAACCTTCGTGCGGAAGTGGAAACGTGGAACCCTCCTTCGCTCAGCACCTCCTCCACTGGCCTTGATAGCCCCTTCCGCTGTCCTGTCCCCCTTGACTCAAAACAAATGCCACCGGGTGTAGATCTTCAGGAGTAAATGATAGGTTTGAGGGAAGTCTTCATCGCGGAGGAGGCTGCATGTTGGACACTCGTGAGGCTCTCCAACTATGCGCGTATCCTCTGGCGGGGGATGCAGCCCAAACTGGCGTGTTCTACGGGGGGGCAGGGGCGGCGTCTCGCCCCCCCCCCCCCCCCCCCCCCCGCCCCCCCCCC